TGTAGGCCAGATTTATGTTTGACTTTACACAAACATCTCAGTGTAGTAAAGAGCAGTATTGCCGCCAGCATGTCTCACCTCCAGCCATAAGGCAGTTTTCTCCTATCTCAGTAAATAGCACATATGATCAGGTTTTACACCGAGACAGTCCATTCCCAGGGATGAGCAGGAGAGAGATGCCTTCTTCTTATCTCAACTGCAAAGAGGCCTTCCTCTTTGCTAATACTCCTCAACACAGACCCTGTATGGGTATCGGGCTAGGGCACGGTCAGGTCTTTCCCTTCCCACGAGGTGGCATCTCAGGCTGTCTCCATGGGGAGAAACCTTGGACAATACCCAGGCTATCTTGGGCAGAGGTCCCTGTGACCTTCCGCAGTATATTGTGTCCCTGGGTACTTGAGACTGGAGAATGGCGATGACTTTTACCAAGTTTACTGCCTTCAAACACATTTTTAAAAAAGCACATCCTGCACACCCCTATATCCATTAAAACTTGAGTCAACACAGCACGTTTCTGCAAGCACAGGGTTGGGGCTAGGGTTACAAATTAACAGCAATTCAAGGCAGAAGAATTTATCTTAGTACAGAACAAAATGGAGCTTTTTATATCTTCTTCTTTCTACATAGACACAGTAACAGTCGGATCTCTCTTTCTTTCCCCTACATCACATCCCCTAGTTTCTGGGTCCAGCAATATGTCACAGGGCATGGTCCAGGCAAAAAAGTAACATTACCTAGGTGAAGAGATGTCACAATGTCCTCTGTGGGTAGGGCTAAGAGAGAAGAAAAATGTCACGTAACCTAGGTGGTGGTGCCAGTGATATGTCACAATCATCCCGAAAGTTCTGGACCAAGCGATATGTCACAATATTCTCTGTGTACAGTTTACATGAAGATAGTCACATAATCTAGGTGATGGGCTTCGAAATATGTCAAAATGACCCCTGTAGGCAGGGACCACACAGAATAATCACCTCACCTGTGTGCTAGATATAACGATAAGGCATCTTGGTTCTGTGGGCTTGACCATGTGCTAAGAAGAGAGTCACATAACCTAGGTTTTGGTCCCAAAGATATGTCACAATTTTTTCTACAGTCAAAGCCCAGGTAAGAGAGGAGAGTCACATGAAATAGTTGATGAAGTCAGAAATATGTACCAATGCCCTCTGAGAACAGGGTCCCGGCAGGAGACTCACATCACCTTGGTGCTGGCCCAGCAATATGTCACAATGTCTTCTGAAAGTAGGACAAAGCCAACAGGTTAGTGTCACCTCGGTGTTGGGCAAAGTAAAATGTCAACATCTCCCCGTCAGGCAGAACTTAGAAAGATGAGAAGGGTCACATCAGCTAGGTGCTGGGCCCAGCAACAGGTAACAATCTTCCCCTTTGAGCAGAGAGCACAAAGGAAAAGAGAGTCACATCACCTGGGTGATGGGTGCAGTGATACATCACTATGTTCCAAGTAGGCAGGGCTGAGGCTGAAGTGTTACATCACATGGGTGTTAAACTCAGCAGTATGTCACAGTGGCCCATGTGGGCAGAGAACAAACAGGAGAATGACATAAGCTAGGTTTGTGGCCCAGGAATATATCACAGTGTCCCCTGTGGGCAGTACCAGAAAAGGAGAGACTTACATCACTTGGATGCAAGGCCCAGGGATATGTCACAATGGCCCCTATAGACAGCACCAAGGCAGGAGTATGGAGTCACATCTCCTATGTGCTGGGTTCAGCAATATGTCACAATTGCAACTATGGACTGGGCCCAGGCAGGAGAGTCAAATTATTCATGTACTGAGCAGAGGCATATGTCACAATCACACCTGCAGGATGGTTTACAAATTAGATTAACAATTTCACACATGTCCCAGTTCTAAATCTGAGTCAACACCTCCTGTATGTTGGGTCTAAGTACAAGAGTCACAATCTCAATGGTGCTATTTGATTTGTTTGTGAGAGTCTCAATTTCTTGTGCAGACTGTGAATGCTCACTGGAGCCACAGACTCACAGGTGTGTTGAATAGAGGTCTGAGCGTCACCAACTCACCTTTGAACCAAATTCACACATGAGTAAATTTTCCAACTTTTGACTGTTTTCACAAGGAAAACTTGGGACCTCAATAGTGGGTTGTGTTCATATGGAAAGGTGACAATTTTTGCTGTTGGCTGGGTGTGCATGTGAGCCTCACAATCTTACCTGTGTGCTGGGCTCTGCTAAGACTCTCAGTACCAGTCAAGAGCTTTCTACAGTATTAATGAGAGTTGCAAACGACTCTGTGACCTTCATGATGGTATGGACCCATGATTGTACCTGTGGTTCTAAACCCGGGTATGAGAGTCAACATCTCTATAATTGGCTGGTTCCAGATAAAAGAGTTTTCACCTGCTGTGGAGCTAGGTTATAAATGAGTCACCATCCCAAGTGCAGCCAGATGTTCAACTATGACCATTGCAATTTCAACTGTAGACTGCATCCACGTGTGAGATTCAAGACCTTACCAGTAGGCTCTGTCCATGTGCCAGGTGACAATCCTAATAGATGATGCAGTGTGCATACAAGAAATGCAATGTCACCTGTGTGCTGGGCCCTGTGATGACACTCTCTGTACCACCTGAAGGGTTTATATGATATATACGAGAGTGGTAATCCACTATGACCTTCATACAAGGAGGAGACCCAGAATCTTATGTATTTCCCTAACCCTAGTTTTGAAAGGCAGTATGTCCCCTATTTGTTGATTTGAGATATGAGAGTTATCACCTCACCTATGAGCTGAACAAAAATATACTTTACAATCCCACCTGTGCATAGAGTGTGTGAGCAAGAGAGTCACATCATTTTGGTGCTAGGTCAGAGATATGTCACAATCTTTTCTCATGGCAGAAACTAGGACGAAGAGTCACGTCACCTGGGTGCTTGGCCAGGGATATGTTACATTCCTGTTCTGAAAGGCGGGCACAGGGAGCAGAGTCACAGCACGTGGGTGATGTGCCCAGTGATATGTCACAACACTCACTCCCTGTGAACAGGACCCTGGAAAACACATCACCCTGTTGCTGGGCCAAATGTTATGTCACAATCTTTCCAGTGGGCAGGATGCAGGCAGCAGAGGAGAGTCACATCTCCCAGGTGATGAATACAGAGATATGTCATAAGGCTCTTGAGAATGATAGGGCTAACACCCTGTTTACAGGGCACAGACAGGTGTCTCCCATCTTCTAGGTGTTTGGTCTAGTCATAAGTCACAGTACTCAAAATACGTGGGACCTATGCAAAATACAAGAGTCACATTACCTAGGTGCTAGGTCCAGGGATATGTCAGCATCCCATATGGCAAGGGCCTGGCAGAGAAGAAGAACACATCACCTAAACCATAAATGTAAAAATATATCATAGCCAGGCACAGTGGCTTATGCCCATAATTCCAGCACTTTGGGAGGCTAAGGTGGGCGGATCACTTGAGGCCAGGAGTTTAAGGCCAGCCTGGCTTACATGGCAAACTCCATCTCTACTAAAAATACAAACAAATTCAGCTGAGCATGGTGGTACACGCCTGTAATCCCAGCTATTCCGGAGGCTGAGGCACGAGTATCACTTGAATCCAGGAGGCCTGATGATTAGGTTCTAGACCAAATAGCAAAACGTGTTTGCCTTTAATCTATTTTCTCTATATTTAAACATTGCAAGTCAAGAGTATGTACAGGTATGAAGACTTAGAGTTTTCTTCTCCTCTGGTCCTATCATCCTTTGTTCCCTTTCTGATCTCCGGAAGGAAGGTGGGCCAAAAGTGGCCAGCAGTTATCTACCTGTGGTTATTTTATTCCTGCTGCCCTCTGCTCTTTCTATGGCCACTATCTTTTCCATCCTCGAAACTGAAGAGAGATGTTGTTAGGAAGAGGCCCTTCCTTCACACTGGCAGAATAAATTTGTTCAGGCCTTTTACCCACCCAACATCAGAGCTGCACTTCATGTGTGGCTCCTGAGTGCCTGGAATGTGGCTGGGTCTACATTGTCATGTGCTGGAAAGGCAAAAAACAGACTTAGTAGCCCGTGGGCGGTGGCTCACACCTGTAATCTCAGCACTTTGGAAGGCCAAAGCGGGTGGATCACCTGAGGTGGGGAGTTCCAGACCAGCCTAACCAACATGGAGAAACCCCGTCTCTACTAAAAATACAAAAATTAGCAGGGCAGGGTGGCATATGCCTGTAAACCCAGCTACTCAGGAGGCTGAGGCAGGAGAATCGTTTGAACCTGGGAGGCAGAGGTTGCCGTGAACTGAGATCGTGCCCCTGCACTCCAGCCTGGGCAGCAAGAGCGAAACTCCGTCTCAAAACAAACAAAAAACCCAGATTTACTTCCAAATATATAGTTCCAAATATATACATGCTACATTAATAATTCACATTGCTCACATAGTAATATTTTGGATATATTGGGTTACTGAAATTGTTACAATCACTTTGACCTGTTTCTTCTTTCTTTTTAAAGTTTGGCTAACCAGAAAATTTAAAATTCACCTGTGGCTCACATGATTGCCTCCCTTTTTTTTTTTTTTTTTTGGATGTAGTTTAGTTTCGCTCTTGTTGCCCAGGCTAGAATTCAAAGCGATCTCAGCTCACTGCAACCTCCGCCTCCCAGGTTCAAGGGATTCTCCTGCCTCAGCCTCCCAGGTAGCTGGGACTACAGGCGTGAGCCACCGCTCCCGCCCATATAAAGTATTATGTATAAACGCATATGACCTTACGCACAAGGTTAAATGCAAATTCCTCCGAGTTGGGCCTGACTCAGCTCAGGCAGGAAGTCCTGCCTGAAAAGGCTGCAGCTTAGAAGCTGTTACTCTTTCTTCATTCAGGCCAGCATGTGATCACATCTCCTGTCACTCAAGGCCTGAAAGGGCGGGGCCTTCAACATTATCCAATCAGGGACGCTCGGCGGAAACCGTCCAATCAGACACGCAGCTGCTGCGGACGGGGCGGCTTTCGGGTTTGGCGGGTACTTTGTCTCTCGCTGCAGACGGAGCTGCAGGTCTTGTCTTCCCTAATCTATGTCCTCTGCTCCTAGAGGCCCAGCCTCTGTGGCCCTGTGACCTGCAGGTATTGGGAGATCCCCAGCTAAGACGCCAGGTCCCCCCTGGAAGCCTAGAAATGGTGAGAGTGCTGGGTCGGACATCCGGGGAGAGGGGAAGGGGCTGGTTGGAACCGGTGGGAAGTGGCGTGGCGGTTCTCAGGCCTTCTCGCAGTCAGCTCCACAATCTGCGCCCGAGTTTTCCTTGGCCAGCTCGGCCTCTGTCCCCTTCAGCCACAAGATGGCGGCTGCGCGACAGCCGGGACCCCAGGCGTCCTCTCTCTTCCCTGCGCAGTGACTGTGCCCTGGTCTGGAGCCCTCTCTTGGCAGCTCTGCACCCGCAGCTCGGCGTCTCTTCGTTCAGGGACCACGGGAGGATAGTCAGAGAAGAATCCTGACTTGGGGTGCGGGGTTCATGAATGGGAAGAGCTTTGGTCTGTGGGGTTCTGAGTTCCTCTTTTCTTTTATTAAAAATGAACAGAAGTCACTGCAAAAATATTAAGTAATTTAAAGAGTGATTCAAAAATTGTAGGCCGGGTGCGGGGACTCACGCCTGTAATCCCAGGCCAGTATGGTGAAACCCTGTATCTACTAAAAATACAAAAATTAGTTGGGCATGGTGTCACGTGCCTATAATCCCAGCTACTAGGGAGGCTGAGACTGGAGAATCGCTTGAACCAGGAAGTCAGAAGTTGCAGTGAGCCGAGATGGCGCCACTGCACTACAGCCTGGCGACAGAGCGAGACTCCGTGTCAAAAAAAAAAAAAAAAAAAAGTAGGGTACCCAGCTATGGTTTGTCGTTTGTCGTCCATAGCAAGGGCTTGAAGAAAAGACTTTTAAACTAAACTCAATAATTGGCTAAGTACAGTTACATAGTTTCTTAGTTTGTACGATCAAGGCGGACATTTCCTTGTTATGTAATCAGAGGTTAATTATAGTTAGCTAAGCCTCAACTTTGTTTCCCCCAGTTTAGTAATTTATAAAAATATGCATTTGAGGCCGGGCGCTGTGGCTCACGCCTGTAATACCAACACTTTGGAAGGCCCAGGCGGGCGGATCACCTGAGGTCGGGAGTTCAAGACCAGCCTTACCAACACGGAGAAACCCCGTTTCTACTAAAAATACAAAGTTAGCCGGGCGTGATGGTGCATGCCTGTAATCCCAGCTACCTGGGAGGCTGAGGCAGAAGAATCGCGTGAACCTAGGAGGCATAGGTTACGGTGGGCCAAGATTGCACCATTGCGCTCCAGCCTGGGCAAGAGTGAAACTCCATCTCAAAAAACAAAACAAAACAAAAACCACACATTTGAGTTAAATTTCTTTAAAGTAGAAATCCAGGGACCATAGCCACCTCAGTCTAGTTGCCTGCCATTTGATTATTTTCACACTCCACAGGAGGCTAATTTTCTGATTTTTTTTTTTTTCCCTTTTTTGAGAAGGAGTTTCACTGTCACCCAGGGTGGAGTACAGGGGTGAGATTTCTGCTCATTGCAACCTCTGCCTCACAGGTTCAAGACATTCTCCTGTCTCAGCCTCCTGAATAGCTGGGATTACAGGCACCTGCCACCACGCCTGGCTAATTATTATACTTTTAGGAGAGACGAGGTTTCACCTGGGCTAGGCTGGTCTGGAACTCCAGACCTCAGGTGATCCTCCCGCCTTGGCCTCCCAAAGTGCTGGGATTACAGGCGAGAGCCACCACTCATGGCTCGGGAGTCCCCAATTTTTAAACGGTAGCTCAGGAGCGTAGATGGGTTCATTGGATTTGTTACTGACATCTGCAGTAAGGAGAATACTGTGCGACTGAGTCCTGAATCCGGGTCTGTGCTGAATGGGTGGTGTCAGAATGCAAATTTTAGACAATGAGTTGATGTTGGAGAATCCTGGTGTTCAGCAAACTCTACAGATTTGGTGCCAGAAGAAAGATACCACAGAGGCCTGGCCTGGAATGAAACTCTGGGAGGCTCTGCTTTTCTGTCACAGTGCCCATTGTTTTGTGATTCTAGGTCTCCTCCCAGGTTGAGAGAGGACTGAAAATTTAAAGAAGCTATGATAGCAGATTCCCTTTTTTCACAGCTGCCAGCACAGGATTTCTACTCACAAACACACCCACTAGACACTGAGGTGTCTACACCACTCCCAGGGCTAGACACCACCCTCAGGAATTTCACCACAGCATTTTTGATCCTAATGTTTCTTGCCAAAAACCCACAAGTGTCTACAAGTCTCCCCATATCCCCTCCCCAGACACTGAATCTGCAGCAGCAACCTGTTTTCTCCACCCACCTAGGGTTCTGGACCACCTGTTCATAATCTCATCTGCCTGCATGAATACAGAAATAAATTAGAATAGAGTCATACCTGGGCCACTATCTGTAGCACAAACCAGTCCTGTCGCCTACATTGCACTCTCCCAAACTCATGGATTTTTTTCCCTTTTAACTTTTATTTTTTGTTCCTGAGTACACATGTAGGTTTGTTATATAGGTAAAATTGTGTCATGGGGGTTTGGTGTGCAGATTGTATTGTCACTGAGATACTAAACATTGTACCAAATAGGTGTTTTTTCTGACATTTTTTGTCCTCCCATTATCCACTGTGAACTACCCCTCAGTGTCTGTTCTCTTTGTGTCTATGTGTTCTTATTGTTTAGTTCTTATAAATGGTAACATATATTTATTTATTATTGTTTTTTGAGATAGAGTCTTGCTGTGTCACCCACGCTGGAGTGTGGTGACAAAATCCTGGCTCACTGCAACCTCCACCTTCCTGGTTAAAGTGATTCTCCTGCCTCAGTCTCCCAAGTAGCTGGAATTACAGGTGCCTGCCACCACACCTAGCTAATTTTTGTATTTTTGTAGAGAGAGGGTTTCACCATGTTGGCCACGCTGGTCTCGAACTCCTGATCTCATGTGATCCACCCGCCTCGGCCTCCCGAAGTGCTGGCTTTGCTGTCTCTGCATTAGTTTTCTAAGAATAATGGTCTCTAGCTTCATCCATGTTGCTACAAAGGACATGATTTTGTTTCTTTTTGTTTTTTTTTGAGACTGAGTCTTGCTCTGTAGCCCAGCCTGGAGTGCAGTGGCATGATCTCAGCTCGCTGCAGCCTCCACTTCCCGGGGTCACGCCATTCTCCTGTCTCAGCCTCCCAAGTAGCTGGGACTACAGGTGCCCACCAACTGGGACTACCATATTTTTAGTAGAGACAGGGTTTCACCATGTTAGCCAGGATGGTCTCGATCTCCTGACCTTGTGATCCGCCCACCTCGGTCTCCCAAAGTGCTGAGATTACAGGCGTGAGCCATGGCGCCTGGCCTTTTGGTTTTTTTTGTTTTTGTTTTGTTTTTATGCCCACACAGTATTCCATGATGCTTATGTACCATAATTTGTTTTTATTAAATCTTTTATTTTATTCTTATTTGAAGTAAAGATCTTACTCTTTCACCCAGGCTGAAGTGGAGTGGTGTGATCTAGGCTCAATGCAGTCTCAATCTCCTGAGCTCAAGCAGTCCTCCTACCTCAGCCCTCCAAGTAGCTGGGACTACAGTCACATGCCACCACACCCACTAATTTTTTATTTTTCTATTTTTTGCAGACATGAGGTTTTGCCATGTTGCTTAGGCTGCTCTCAAACTCCTGAGCTCTGGCAGTCTACCTGCTTTGGTGTCCCAAAGTGTTGGATTACAGGCATGAGCCACCATACCTGCCCATACCATATTTTCTTTATCCAGTCTATCATTGATAGGCATTTAGGTTGATTCCATGTCTTGGCTATTGTGAACAGTGCTGCAATGAACATGCACGTGCATGTGTTTTTATGATGGGATAATTTATATTTCTTTGGGTATATACCCAATTACGAGGTTGCTGGGTCAAATGGTAATTCTGTTTTTTACTTAGATGAGGCATCACTACATTGCTTTTTATAATGGTTGAACTAATTCACACTCCCACCAGCAGTATATAAGCATTCCCTTTACAACCTTGCCAGCATCTGTGATATTTTTCACTTTTTAGTAATAGCCATTCAGAGTTGTGTCAGATGATGCCTCATTGTGGTTTTTCTTTGCGTTCCTCTAATGATTAGTGATGAGCATTTTTCATATGCTTGTTAACCACATGTATATCTTTTTTTGAAAAGTATCTGTTGATGTCTTTTGCCTGATTCCTGCCTCCCCCCCAACCCAATGGAGTCTTCCTCTCTCACCCAGGCTGGAGTGTGGTGGCGCTATCTCACTACAATCTCTGCCTCCCGGGCTCAAGCAATTCTGCCTCAGCCTCCTGAGTAGCTAGGATTACAGGTGCCCACCACCACGGCCAGCTAATTTTTGGGTGTTTTTTTTTTTTTTTTTTTTTTTGAGATGGAGTCTTGCTGTGTCTCCCAGACTGGAGTGCAGTGGCGCGATCTCAGCTCACTGCAAGCTCTGCCTCCTGGGTTCACGCCATTCTCCTGCCTCGGCCTCCTGAGTAGCTGGGACTACAGGCGCCCACCACCATGCCTGGCTAGTTTTTTGTATTTTTAGTAGAGACACGGTTTCACCCTGTTAGTCAGGATGGTCTTGATCTCCTGACCTCGTGATCCATCTACCTCGGCCTCCCAAAGTGCTGGGATTACAGGTGTGAGCCGCCATGCCTGGCCTAATTTTTGTATTTTTAGTATAGTAGAGACAGAGTTTCACCATACTGGCCAGGCTGGTCTCAAACTCCTGACCTCAGGCGATCTGCCCGCCTTGGCCTCCCAAAGTGCAGGGATTATAGGCATGAACTATGGTGCCTGGCCTAATCAATCTTGATTTTTATATATAGTGTAAGAGAGGGGTCCAGTTTCAATCTTCTACATAGTGCTAGCTAGTTATTCCAGCAAAATTTATTAAATAGGGATTTTTTCTCAAATTCCTCTTGTCAGCTTTGTCAAAGATCAGATGGTTGTAGGTGTGCAGAATAATTGTGGGGTGCTTTAATCTGTTGTTTTGGTCTCTGAGCCTGTTTTTGTACCAGTACCATGCTGCTTTTGTTACTGTAACCCTGTAGTATAGTTTGAAGTTTGGTAATGTAAGCCCTCCGGCTCTGTTTCTTTTGCTTA